CAGAAGCGCTTGTAACTGCCAGTGTGGGACATTGTGGGATAGCTTCTGAAGGCAGCAACAGTTGAAGTAAGTAACACAGTGTCTACACTGACTCTGCGTCATCCTAACTACATCGACATAAACGCTACGCCTCTCGTGGAGGTGCAGCTATTAAATCGGTGTAGTGTGCAATTACATCAGTGGGAGCTACCTTTTAGTGCAGGCGCTTACAGAGTGAGATCGACATAAGCTGCCTATGTGAAAAACCTAAAACTCTGAGTGGCACAGTTAAGCCAACCTAACCGGCCATGTAGACAGCACTAGGTTGATGGAAGAATTCTTCAGTCAACCTAGGCACAGCCTCTAGGTTTGCTCTCCAAGCAGACTGACACATGGGGGGTGGGGTGGGGGGGATGTTGTGGCATCGCCTAGCTGTCTGAGCATTATTAAATGCTCATTAAAAACGATTAGCTGAAGCCAACCCCCTATCAAAGGAGAATCCCAGAGAATCCAGTCACCAGGATATTGACATTTAGCAACCATACCCCAGAGGGAGAGGGATTTCTCCACCTCTCAGCAGGGAAGCTGAGCAAAAAGCCTAGCTGGAGAACAAAGGACGGAGAGGTGGGGGAGAAGTGCTTGCTCCTGGAGGAAGCTGGGAGCTCTCTTACCCGGGAACTAAGGAGGTCAGACAGAGACCAACAGAGCCTGGACCTGGGCTCACTACAGATCGTCTGGGCTCTGGGCTGACCAGAACGGTCTATGCTTTAACTTTCCTGTCTCTGTGCTAACCTACGGACTGTCAATGCTGTGTTCCAGCTGACAGATCAGTCAGACTGTTTTGGAAATGCTCTGTGAGTGTCCCTGTAAACACTGGCTGGGTGCATCAAACCCTGCAAAGTGGACACGTCTCTCCCAGGAGTCTGGCTTAATTGGACTCGCTGAGAAGAGCTCACCGTGTGAGGCAGAAGCAGGGCTGGCTCCAGGCACCAGCGCAGCAAACTGGTGCTTGGGGCAGCCCATGGAAGGGGGCGGCATGTCTGGGTCTTTGGTGGCAATTCGGCGGCAGGTCCCTCAGTCCCTCTCGGAGGGAAGGACCTGCCACTAAATTGCCACCGAAGAATGAAGCAACGCGGTAGAGCTGCTGCCGAAGTGCCGCCAATCGCAGCTTTTTTTTTTTCCCCACCACTTGGGGCAGCAAAAAAGCTGGAGCTGGCCCTGGGCAGAAGTGCTAGAGCCCAGAGGTTCAGTCCCAGGAGACAGCAAGGCCATGTGGCCAACCCTGAAGGAAGAGGTTCCTGCCAGACACTGTTCCAAAGCTGGGGGTGCAGCACGGATCTGTGACAACAGTACAACCCCAGAAGCAGTGGGGAGCAGTGGATGGTGCACACCCACTAGCAGTACCAGACCACAGGGGACAGAAAGCAGTAGAGAGTACTCACACAGCAGCAGTGCCAGGGCCAAGGCACAAGTTTGGGGAGCTGTGGATGGTAAACACCCAGCAGCACTAGCAGAGTGTCCCGGATCCACAGGACTAGTGCTGTGCCCCCTCCCTCTTCCTTCAGAGTCAGCCATGCGGCCTCACCACCTCCTGAACCTTTGGGCTCCAGCACTCCTGCTCCACACCGTGAGCTCTGCTCAGTGAGTCCAACTGAGACAGACTCCTGGGAGAGACTTGTCCACTCTGCAGGGACTAATGTTCCCCTGCCAGTATTTAGAGTGATCCTCAGAGAGCGCTGTCGGGTTTATTAGTCAGCCAAAACAGAGCATTGGCAGTCCGAAGGTTAGAACAGAGACAGGAAGGTTAAAGCATGGACCGTTCTGGTCAGCCCAGAGCCCTGTAGTGAATCCCATGTTCAGTCTCTGTCTGACCTCCTTAGTCAGTTCCCAGGTGAGAGTCCCCGATTCCTTCCAGCAATCAACCCTTACCCCCCACCTTCCCCATCCTTTGTTGTCAAGCTAGGCTTTTTGCTCAGTTTCCCTGCTGACAGGTGGGGAAATCTCTCTCCCTGTAGGTCCTTAGTTACTAGGTGTCCATGTCCTGATGACTGGCTTCACCAGTGTCTTCTCTGATTCTCCTTTACTTTGGTGGTGGCCTCAGCCAGTCCTTTTTAATGGCCCATCCCAGCTCAGACAGCTAGGCAACATTCAAACTGATGTTTCTTAGCCTGCCCTGAGAACACTGCTGCACCAGCAACTTCCTAGACATCACAATCAGCTTCAACAATGGAACCCGACAGAAAACCACAGACAAGAAACACAGATCTAGTAGCCACCCCAAACACACCAAGAAATCCTTTATCTACAGCCAGGCCCTCGGATACTGAGGAATATGCTCGAAGGAGGAAGCCTAGGACACACACCTTAACTCATGTAAAACTGCCTTCACCAAACAAGGACACTCCACCAGAGAAGAAGATCACAGCCTGGAATGGGCCACCAAAATATCACAAGAGAATCTGTTTCAATATAGGGAACAAAACCTTCAGAGCGCACATCCCTAGTTGTCACCTATCATCACACACTGGAACCCAGACGAGGTATTATTAAACAATTACAACCCATACTCAATGGCAAAGTTCCCACTACGTTTTTTTTACATCCATGTGCAGAATGAATTTTGTTATGTGCACCAATATGGAGGTGATGTGTGGTGGGGGTGGGGCCGAGGGGTTCGGAGTATGGAAGGGGGCTCAGGGCTAGGGCAGAGAGTTGGGATGCGGGGGGTGAGGGCTCTGGAGTGGGGCCGGGGATGAGGGGTTCAGAGTGTGGGAGGGGGCTCAGGGCTGGGGCAGAGGGTTGAGGTGCAGGGGGGTGAGGATTCTGGCTGGGGATGCGGGCTCGGGGGGGGGAAGGGATGAGGGGTTTGGGGTGCAGGCTGCCCCAAGGCTGCAGTGGGGAGAGAGGACTCCCCCCACCCCTCTCTTGCTGCAGCAGCCCAGGACTGGGGGAGAGCACCTCTGCACGCAGTGCGGCCCATAATAACCTGCTGCATGGCCGCGCAGCTTAGAGGGAACTTAGCTCAATGGGGATGTTATGGGTCATGGCTCCTCTCCTACCTTCTTCCCTGCAGAAACTGCACAGACTCTAGTTCTTGTTCCTTCACCAGACCCTTTTATTTTAAGTTCCCTCCACCATTTCTACAGCAATCCCTGTGCAACAGTCTATTTACATCACCAACAACCCTTTTGGCCCTCTCCCCAGGACCTGTGGGGTACAAATGTCTCCCTCCCCTGAGAACCTCAGTGTAACTGGTTTCAACTAGCCCTGGTCCCCTCTCTCTTCCCCGCCCCTGTGGGTCTTCCTTCCTGCCTTCTTGTCAGCCCAGCCACAAGATCTAATTATCTCCCTCAACTTTCTCAAGGGGAACTAATGAACATCGGAGTGATCAAAGGACAGACTCACCTGTGTGCACCCTGCACTCTGTCACGCACCTCCACCCTTGCCTACCGCTGACGGTCCTTCTGCCTCTGACCCGCCCTTCTCTAGAGGAGGTGCCAGGTACCTCTTTCCTGTGCTCACCCCCAGGGTGATTATCCCCCCTCCACCTACAGAAGTCACATTTTGTGGGTGGAGGACACCCTCATGATTTTGTTTTGACCCACTGGTCTTCACACCAAGGGCAACTCGAGGGTTTAACTCCTCCCTGTCACTCTCTTTGCTTTGGAGTGGGGTTTGTCCTGTCCCCTTCCCATGTTGTTCCTCTGTGCACTCTTGCTCTCCTAGTCCTACCCACTTATCTCAGGGCTCCTCTTCTCGAGGCCCTGGTAGCGAACCTTCCGAGAACAGCCCATCCCACTCTGGTATGTCCTGCCTTCCCTTTTCTCCTAATGCCCACTCGGCTAATTCCTCCTTTTTTCCGCTTTCCGCTTGGGAACGTTTGTTTCCCTTTGCCACCCTCGGCTTATATCACGTTGTCTAGGGTTTTCCTGCTCCTCTACTTCACGCCCTTTCTCCATCTTTGACCAGTTCCTTTCTGCCATGGACCCCAACTAACTGCTTTCCTCTTAAAGGGGAAGGGGCTCCAGTCCATCCCTACCACCACTGGATGTGGCAATCTATCCACAATCCCAACCCATTTCCACCTGAACTCTCTCCAAACCTTCAGGGGAATCTCGGCCAATGGGCAGAGCTTTCTCTCCCCATGATGCACTCCAAACTCAGCCTGTCTCTGAGAAGGATCCAGTGTGGCTTTACCACATCTTTCCTAGCCAGCGAACATCCTGATATAGTGTCCACTAGGCCCTTCTCCCATCCCTTCACAACCTTCATTGAGACGGTTGGCATTTTCCTCTGTTGCAGGTCACAGTCCAACCACAACATTATGCCAGTTCCCAGTCCATAGATGGGCAGTCTCTTTTTATAGGCCTTGTCTCCCACATTGGTAACAGGTAATTTCCAGCCTCCCTGGAGTGGGTTCTCTGTAGGCTTCATCCCTACCACTTCTCCAACCCTCTTTCCTCGCTTGAGCCTGTTAAACAAATGCGCACCCTTGTGGGGAAAATCTGCTTCCTCAAACTCTTTTGTGTGTTTGACCGCTGTCTCCAGGATTGTGGGTTGGTGCCTCCTCACCAAGACACGAGTGTTCTCTGGAATGCTTTGTAGAAATTGCTCCAGGATATGGCGTCCATGATTTCACCCACAGTCTGCGTGCCTGGCTTCAACCAGAAGGTAGCCCAATCAGTTAACCTTTGGGCACATTTCCTGGCCCGTACATCTCCAGCCTATCTAACAGCCCAAAACATCTGCCAATATTTCTCTGTAGACAATCCCACTCGGACGAGCATGGCTGCCTTAACGACATCAAAGTCCTTGGTCTGTTTGTCACCCAAGACCATGCAGGCCACTTGAGCTCCCCCGCCAAATTGGGTGCTAACGGGGGGGCACATTCCTCTGTCCCAGCCAGCTCCCATTGCTACCCTCTCAAATGTCATTAAAAAAGCATTGGGGTCAGCGGCAGGTCCCATTTTACACAGGCCGACCCCCAGGCTCCGGTTACCGTTCCCCGTACCAGGACTCACCAGTGTCTGAAGCAACTGCTGCTGCACTTGTGCTTGCTCCCTGATAAATTTCTGCAAGCTCCTCTGTTGCTTTGCTTGTCAGGCCAGCAGGGATTGTCTCTCCAGCTGGTGTGCCTGTTGGAAAGATTGCATGCTCTGTTGCAGCTTCTTCTGCTGGTCCACCAACCACTGCAGAGTCTGCTCCATCTTACGGGTGCCAAATATTTGCAGCAGCCTCCCCCGTGTCTCTCAATCGCCACAACTGGGGGAGTCAAGATCCTGGACAAGCGCCCACATGTCACGGGGCATGGCTCCTCTCCCACCTTCTTCCCCGCAGAAACTGCATGGACTCCAGTGGTTGTGCCTTCACCAAACCCTTTTATTTTAAGTTTGCTCCACCATTTCTACAGCAATCCCTGTGCAACAGTCCATTTACAGCACCAACAGCACTTCTGGTCCTGAAGGGAACAAGGTCTCCCACCCCTGTGGTCTCAGTGTAACTGGGCTCAACTAGCTCTTGTCTGGTCTGGTCCCGTCCCATCCTGTCTCCCTCTCCTCCCCCCATCGGACTTCCTTCTTGGCTTCCCATCCCGTCCATCCATCCAGTCCGATTCTCTAATTACCTCTCTAAGCTTTCTCAAGGAGAACTAATTTACATCGGGTGATCAGAGTGCAGGCTCACCTGTTCTCACCCTGCACTGTCACAGGGGACCACAGCCTGAAAGAAACCTTTCCTAAACCCCCTCTTCTGGCCTTCAAACAACCCACCTGCCTCACCAACTCATCATCAGAAGCAAGCTCCTCACAGACCAGGACCCACCAGTGGCATCAGACCCTGCCAGAACAACAGATATAAAATTTGCAGACATAGCATCACTGCTATGATGATCAATAGCTCCCGCAACATACCTTTCAAGATCCACAGATCCTAGAAGAGCTATCCCAACACGTGTTGTACCTCGTCTAGTGCACTAAATGCTCCAATAACAATTCTGAGGGTGAAATGAGACAATCACTGTGCTCTCAAATGAACTCACACTGAAAAACGCTAAAAGACAAAAACACCATAGCACTTGTGGGCAAATGCTTCGAAAAGCGATCACTCTAACCTGGCCTCTCAGTTCTCATCCTCAAAGGAAACCTGCACAACACCTTCAAAAGATGAGCCTAGGAGCTTAAATTCATAAGTTTGCTAGACACTAAAAATCATGGACTTAATAACGACAGTGGATTTATGGCTTATTACAACAATCTTTAACCCACACACCCCCTTTTTAGTCCTATGACTGCAGTGGCTAAATAATCGGTTCCAAATTGTACTTAGCTGTGCCACTCTGAGAAGTTTTCCCAGATCTGAAGAAGAGCTCTGTGTTAGCTCAAAAGCTTGTCTCTCTCACCAACTGAAGATGGTCCAATAAAAGATGTTACCTCGCCCACCTTGTCTCTCTGAGAGCAAACAGTCCTTTCTCCCCGCACTCAGTAATCATGTGAAACTCAGGGGAAACTGATGCCCACATAGGAGTTATACAAATACAGAAAATTCCCACTTTGTCACGCAGAGCCAGGGCACTGGGGACAGGGAGCAGTAAACAGACAGTACCCCATACAGCAGAAGTATCTGGGCCAGGGTGCTGTGCATGGGGAGCAGTGGACAGTACACACCCAGCAGCTGTACCAGGTGAGGGGGCAGGAAGCTGCTGATGGTTTCTTCCCCCTCTCAATAGCCCAGAGACATGGGAATCACCAGACTGGATGAGACCCCACCCATCCAACCCTGGCTCCCAATGTGAGATGAGCCATGGCTGCTTTGGAGGAATGTGCAAGTCACAGGTGCCAACTCTTAGCACCCACCAGCAGCCCCCAATCAATACCTCTCCCTCCCCCCAGTGCCTCCTGCCCGCTGGTGGGCCCCGCCAATCAGCACCTACCCCTCCCTCCCTGCGCCTACCGCCTGCTGCGGATCAGCTGGAGTGGAGGGGGTGGAGCGAAGGTGCAGAGCGCTCAGGGGAGGGGGCGGAACTGAGTGGAGAAAAGGAGGGACGTGAAGAGGCGGGGCAGAGCAGGAGTGGGAAGAAGCAGGGTGGGGGTGGGGCATTGGGGAAGGGGTAGAGTGGGGTCGGGGCCTGGAGCACCCCCCAGCAGATTAGAAACTCGGCACCTATGATGCAAGTTCCACACAGTGAGCAGCACTGGGCTTGCATGCCCCAGGTAGAATGGTCATGGCAAACCCACAGAGTAGTTAACTACATATATTAAATACTCCTGCTGGAAAGTTGCAATATAACACTGCTTTAGTACTTACAACTCAAAATGATAACCCACAAGAACCCCAAAACAGAAAGAGAGAAAGCAGGCTGCTCCCTCAGAGAGACACAACTCCCCCTCTCCCACGAATATAGGCTGCCTGGCTGCAGACTGTCTGCTGCCAGGCCGCAACTGCATGTTTCCCTACAGAGCCCCCAAGCAGGACCAGGAACCCCTGAGATTTGAAGTGACTGCCTACAATTTTAACAGTCCTCAATATACCAGCTCAGGGAAGCCTCCTGGTCACTACAGAGGCTGGCTTTTGCCCTGATGAGAGGGGTTTCATATCCTGTCTGCCTCGCCCTCCCCCTTCTCTCATGGCTCCTCCTTAGTGTTTGGGCTCCCTCCTTGTGGGGCCTGATGGAGCCCTTACACATACACACACACACCCCTTGCTGGCAGAAGATACTAGGGTGACCAGGTGTCCAGTTTTCAACTGGAACACCCGGACAAAAAGGGACCTCTGGTCAGCACTGCCGACCGGGCCGTTAAAAGTCTGGTTGGCGATGGTGCGGCACTAAGGCAGGCTAGTCCCTACCTGGGCTGGCTAGCACCGTGCTGCACCCCGGAAGCAGCCAGCAGGTCTGGTTTCTAGGTGGGAGGCCACTGGGCTCTGCACACTGCTCCCGCCCCAAGCACCAGTTCCACACTCCCATTGGCCAGGAACCAGCCAATGGGAGCTGGGCGTGAGGGCGGTGCCTGTGGGTGATAGTGGCACGTGGAGCCTCCTGGCCCCCCACCTAGGACCCAGATCAGTTGGCTGCTTCTGGAGAGTGCGCAGTGTGGTGCCAGGCCCAGAGCAGCCAGGCAGCCTACCTTAGCCTCCGCATGGCGCCGCTGACTGGGAGCCACCCCCGCCGCGCTGCTAACTGCCCGAGGTAAGCCCATGATCCAATCCCGAGCCCCAACTCTCTGCCCCAGCCCTGAGCCCCCCACAAACCCGGAGCACCCTCCTGCATCCCAAACCCCTCATCCCCAGCCCCACCCCAGAGCCACCACCCCCAGCCCAACGCCCTCACCCCCTCCAGCACCCCAACTCCCTGCCCCAGTCCTGAGCCCCCTCCCACACCCTGAACCCCTCGTTTCTGGTCCCACCCGGAGCCCACACCCCCAGTTAGAGCCCTTACCACCTCCCGCACCCCAACCCCCTGCCCCAGCCCAGTGAAAGTGAGTGAGGGTGGGGGAGAGTGAGTCACTGAGGGAGGGGGAATGTAGTGAGCGTGGGTGGGGCCTCAAGAAAGGGGCAGGGCCTCAGGGCAGGGGTGGGGCTAGGGTGTTCGATTTTGTGCGACTAGAAAGTTGGCAATCCTAAAAGATACCTCTGGCTGGGAGGGGTTGGCTCCAGCCTACCTTGCCTGTGCTTCCTCTCTGAGCTGTCCAGGTGCTGGTATGAACCCCCAGGGGGTGCTGCTAGGGAGAGTGAGTTACACACAGAGTGAAAGGGGCTGAGCTGAGAGGAGCTGTGTGATGCCCTTTGCCTTGTCCACAAAGGCCAGCCACCCTTCGCTCACTTCGACCCAAAGGAAACCCTCACATCTCTAAAAAACAAGCTCTTTCTCTGACCTCCCCCTGCACTGGAGACTGACAGCCTCCTGCCGCTGTGTCCAGAGGTCCCCACCTTGCACCCCCTGATGCCAGCCAACACCCTCCACACCTGTTTTTCAAAGCAGTTTTCTGAAGATAACCCCCCTCAGCAGGAACTGGTCATCATCCACAAGCCCCCATTCAGTGGGGGAGGGGGAGGAGGTGGCTAATAGCTATCTTTCTAATGTTTAACTGCCAAACACTATATAGACTTTTATAGATCAGCTGATGTCCAGCACATCCAGGCCACATTTTAAATCCCTTCTTATCCATTTACCCTCGCCATGATATACAAATGTTACGCTTCAGACCCAATCCCATAACTCTCCAAATCCTTTTATTAAGTATTATATATTCTAGCTCTGTGTATTCTCATTCTCAGTAGAAATCTTTCTTTCAGTTTTTCTATGTTCTTGGCCTCAGTGAGTTCCTGTGGCAGTGAGTTCCAGAGTCTAATTATCTGGTGAGGAAAAATGTATTTTCTCTTATCAGTTCTGAGTTTGCCACCTTTCAGTGTCAGTGAACATCCTTCACTCTTCTGTTATGAGGCAGGGAAACTAGAATTCCCCAGTCTCCCTTCTCCAGACCAGTCACTATTTTATAAACTTTTCCCATGTCCCCGCTCTAAAGTAACAATCCCAATCTATTCAGTGTCTCCTCATAGCAGAGGTTTCGCAGACCCCTACTCACTCTTGTCACACTTCTCTGACCTCCTTGAATCCCTTGCTGGGATGGGGTGATCAGTGCATCACAGTATCCAGGTGAGGCTGCACTACTGATTTATAGAATGGCGATAAAATATTCCCTTTATCATTCTCCATCTCATCCCTTATACGTGTCCTTTGCCTTTTTGGACTTTGGAAAGAGGTCTCACTTGGCCTGTCAATAATGATGCCCAGGTCTTTTCCATGAACTGTTACAGTTAATTTTGATCCCAGGGAGGTGTATGAGCAATTCAAACATTGCCCTCCGACGTCCATTACTTTGCATTTATCAACTCTGAATTTCCCCTACCACCAGGTGGCCCGTTCACATGGCTTGGTTAGGTCCTTGTGAAGTTCCTCACACTCTTCTCTGGACAGTGAATGGGCAGCACAATGGCAGATGGGAGCAATAAGGGAATCAGGTAACCAGCTTACTGCACCAATGGCAGGAATTTTGGGAAAGTCACAGAGACCAGGGCAAATATCGTGGACAACCGGGGGGAAGCAAATGCATTGTAGTACTGATCTTCACAGAAGGAAGCA